ACAGCAATAAATTTAAAAATTATCTACAATTCCACAGGGGGTAAGTAGTCTCATACTGCTTTAATAAACAAACACCATACATATGTGGTTTACAAGAAACACACTTATTGTAGAAATAAAAGTGTTTTTTTGTTTTTTTTTTATAAAAATTTGGAATCGGGGACAAAGATACACCACATAAATTTATAGAAAAAGCAGGGTTGGAAAAAATAATACCACTGAAAGTAAAATTAACATCAGAAGATAAAGGCTGTCATAAAATAATAATCATTATGGTCCTTATTTAAAAACACCTATACTGGGGTGCCTGAGTGGCTCATTCTGTTGAGTGTCCAAGTGTTGATTTCATCTCAGGTCATGACCCTGTGGTTTGTGGGTTCAAACCTCATGTCAAGCTCTGCACTGACAGGGTGAAGGCTGTTTGGGATTCTCTCTTTCTCTCTGTCTACCCTTCCCCCATTTATTGTCTCTCTCTCTCTCTCTCTCTCTCTCTCTCTCTCTCTCTAATAAATAATTAAGCAAACATTAAAAAATACCCACTTACGCTAGGCAGATGTATGTATCAAGTAAAATATCAAATACAAAACTTTAAAAAAAACTATCTGTTCCTACTATTTAGATATTTGTTAACACTACCCTTACATGAGCTGCCCATGTGGCAGTTCCAGGATAGATGCCCAAGAGCCAGATTAAAGGAAGTGATCATTAGTTTTCCAGTTCTGCTGCCAGATGAATGAACTAATGGGCAGCATTAAAGGAGAAAAGTCAGTGTTGTGAACTTGGGTGACAGTCAATCAGATGCCAGCTGAAGTAAGCAGAATAGTTTGAGAATGATCAATATTCATTTTTTGCAAATAATAGTCAAATAATTTGGCCATCTCAGGTCATGAAGAAGAGTGAACTTAGTGTGAATGGCTTGATGGACAGAAACATTGTCCAGAATAATATTTTAATTTTTATTCTCACAGTTTTGGTAAACCAGATAAAAATATGAATGTAAATGATCTGAGGAACAGAATTATTAATGCAGAATTAATAAACACATACCAAGTACAGCCTACAAGGGTTTATGAAGTATTTATATAAAATCAATACTATATGTGTAGGAAGGAATCAATATATGAAGCAAATTTTTCCATTCTAACTTACAACAAACAATAATTCAATAGTATAATTATAATCCCAAATTTTCAGCTACCTGAAAAATTTGAAAATATAAGAGGTCAAAAAATGTACACTGACACTCAAATGTGCAGAAACATCGTTTTGTTTCTTCTCCCCAACTGAATTTGACATGCTTATCAGCCCCTGCTTCCCTTGATGGCAGAAAAATCCAACCCGGATGATAAATGATAACTAGTTAATGCCTGCTTAAGACTTAGTGCACTGTGTAAGTATTGGGTTATATTGATGTTTTCTTTCTTTTTTTAATTTTTTTCAACGTTTATTTATTTTTTGGGACAGAGAAAGACAGAGCATGAACGGGGAAGGGGCAGAGAGAGAGGGAGACACAGAATCGGAAACAGGCTCCAGGCTCTGAGCCATCAGCCCAGAGCCTGACGCGGGGCTCGAACTCACGGACCGTGAGATCGTGACCTGGCTGAAGTCGGATGCTTAACCGACTGCGCCACCCAGGTGCCCCTATATTGATGTTTTCTATTTCCTCTTCTTCTTCCCTTTTCCCTGGGCAGATCACTGGCTGGGGTGGGGGAGGGGGGCTGTGTATTTTCCAGCATTAGAGGCAGTATGGGCTAAAGGGTTGGGTTCTACGGTTGCTGTCCATGGTACTGGCAATGGGCTCATGCTTTGAGGTCTGGTCACTTGGCCTCTCCCAGACCTCCAGGTCCAACCACCATCCTCAGTCTATCCATATCCCCCAACCTGTGAGACCCTCAGCAGCCTACCTCACACTATACTAGAATAACCAGGTCGTGGTGAAGAACCCTCACACCTTTCTGTATTATTTCCCTCAGCCATTGATAGTCTGTCTCCCTTCTGGCAAAGTTTGCTCTGGGTCCCTGCTGAACTAGAGGCATCTCTAATAGACTTTAGCCATCACTGTTGGGAATGAGGGGGGGGAGATACCTCTGTGCTTTCCAAAATCCATCTTGTGATCAATATGACTGTCCCCCAGGCCTCAGCAGGTTTCAATCTTGAAGAGAATCAAAGAACAGGGCCTACACTGATTTCTAACTATACTCTTGTCTCTTGTCTTTACCAGATTTCTCCAAAAATCCCCCACCCAGGCTATAAACAGCTTTTGCTGTCCTTAGTGTGATTGGAAATTACAATTTTATAGTAGATAGTACACTCTATATTACTTGACTTCTAAAATAAATTTCTCTACCCCAAATCTTTCAAACACTAATTTTTTTTCTACTTAAAAAAGTGTTTTTTTCCTCTTTCTCTCTTTTTCAAGTATTTCCTGTAATTCTTATTTTCCTAAATCACAACTGAGTGAAGTAGAGCGTTAAAAACATTTTTACAAATTGAGGAAGGTGGCCAACATTTAAAAAAGTATCATTATATGTTTTAAATTATAAAAATGAGTAAGAACTTATGTCCACACAAAAACCTGCACATGAATGTTTATAGCAGCTTTATTCGTAGTTGCCAAAACTTAGAAGCAACCAAGATGTCCTTTAGTAGGTGAATGGATAAATAAACTATGGTAGATCCAGATGGAATATATTCAGCAGTAAAGAGAAATGAGCTATCAAGCCATGAAAAGGCATGGAAGAACTTTAAATCCATATTATGAATTGAAATAACCCAATCTGTGAAGGCTACATACTGTATGATTCCAATAGTATGCCATTCTGGGAAGGGAAAAACTTCAGAGGCAGTAAAAACATCAATGGTTGCCAAGGGTTGTAGTTGGGGGGCACGGGAGAGGGATGAATTGGCAGAGGACAGAGGTTTTTTTTAGTGCAGTGAAACTATTCTATATGATACTGTAATGGTGGATACATGGCATTATACATTTGTCCAAACCCAAAGAATGTACAACACCAAGGGTGAACTTGAGTGATCATAATGTGAGGTTCACCAGTTAAGACAAATGTACCATTCTGGTGAAGCATGTTGACAATGAAAGAGGCTATGTATGGGTGAGGACAGAGGGTAGATGGAAACCTCTGTACCTTTCTCTCAGTTCCATTGTGGACCTAAACTGCTCAGCACCCAAAAAAAATGTATTTACAAAAAATAATTAAAAATGACAAATATTCCATTTAGTTCTTACGTTATAAATTTGACTTATGGAAACAATGTAGAAAACAGAAATGGATCTTTTTTAATGTAACTGATTCAAATTAAAAATATTTGAATACTGCAACAAATCAAGAAGGAAGATTTTATACAAGTTATCAAAGAAAGAATTGCACAAAATATTTGTGAACTGAACAATTTCATTGGTGTTTTAAGTTTTCCACAGTATTTCCCAAGATTTATGAGCCATTCTTAAATAGAGTCAAAGATAACATTCCCATAGTTTTTCTCAGAGACAAATCTAGGCTTGATCTAAATACTTGACAAAAGATGAAAATTAGAGCACAAACTGATTTATTATTTAAAGTATGAGCACGTGTATTTCAGGGCAAATGAAGCACATGTGTGGTTCAATCAAAGAGCCTATTAATTTATGATCTATTAATATAATTGAACCTATCAGGAGTTTCAATATAATACCCTGTATTCTTATTTTATGGGGATTTCTTAAAAACCAATGGATAAAACATCATTCATTTCTCAGTTTGAATAAACAAATGAGCTAATAAATGATTTATGTGTAAAATAGGAGTAGAAAGATATCTCTTTAATGTGATGTGCTGCCAGAATCAGTATAGTATATACTCAGGAAATACATAAAAATTACTGTTTTGTTTTTGCAAAGTTCTATATCATGAATTTAATAAGTTTTTACAAAGACAGTGCAACAAGAGAAACATGTATAAAAATTGGCTCGAGGGTTACCTAGTTGGGTCAATCTGTTAAGCTCCCAACTCTTGATCTCAGCTCAGGTCATGATCTCATGGTTTGTGAGTTTGAGCCCCTTGTCGGGCTCTGTGCTGACAGCTCAGAGCCTGGAGCCCGCTTCGGATTCTGTGTCTCCCTCTCTCTCTGCCTCTCCCTCGCTCATGCTGTGTCTCTTCCTCTCTCAAAAATAAATAAACATTAAAAAATGTATTTAAAAAAAGCAACTTGTATTTTACTGGAAGAAAGTGGTAAAAACTAATAATAATGCAAAAACTAATATCTCATGTTCTTCCCAGAGACAGCCATAATTAACAGTTCAGTGCATTTCCTCCAAGTTTATACTGTAAGAACAATTTTTGTTGTTGACATCATACATTATACCCAATTATAACTTGCATTTTTCAATCAATATTATGTTCATTTGCCATTTTATCACATGTTCAGTAAACACCAATATTGACAACTAAGTAACCTTCTATCATACTAATTCTTTATCATTTCCTTTAAAGAAACTGTATGGCATATTTACATTATTTCCTATCTTTCATTTTTATAGAAAATAATTTGGATATAATCATGTACATAGGCTCTTTTGCCGTACGATGCAGGCTTTTAAACTAGGTCTCCCTCCGGGTGAATTGAGGTATATTATGTTTGTCCCTTGGCTTTCATTTGGCCATACTATCTCAGATGTTTGGACCAGAGATAAATATAACGTTGTTGATTTTCTTTTATTTTTTTCACCTTCTATAAATTATTGTTTTATTTGGTATTAAAAAGGTTCAGAAAGGAAGTGAAATAGTTTTGTAAAATAAGCCCTTAAAAAGCAAGCAATTATAGTTATTTTTATGTGGGCTAATCAGTATCCTTTTAAATGTGCAATCAAGTGGCATCTATAATTATTTGAGCCACTTGGCTCACACATACAATTGAAACTACTAAAATTCACTCTCTTTTCTTTCCTACTCCTTCAGGGCTTATAACTAAGAGTTGATTTTTTTTCTCTCTCTCTCTTCATAAAGCTTAGTTTTGGAGGAATTCCAGTACCAGGAAAACCTGGAACCTTTTTAAAGAAAAACTTCCACGGATGTATTGAAAACCTTTACTACAACGGAGTAAACATAATTGACCTGGCTAAAAGACGAAAGCATCAGATCTACACGGTGGTAAGTTAACATCTTTCTCAGTGTGGTGATTTCTAACATGTTGGAGTAAGTCTTTCTTCCATCCTGAACCTCTTTATAATGTGTTTATATTACACACTTTGAGGTCCTATCAGCCTCCCAAGTGAAACTGGGGAGCAACAGAAAATGCAGGAATCGAGTCAGTGTGAATAACGTTATGAGGAGTAACAAAGCATGAGAGGCACCTGAAGAATTCTATTTTCCTGTCCAGCTGTGGGTAGTGTTTGCAGCTTCCTCTGTGTTAACATAAATGTCTTTATTATCTCTGTGAAATGCAACAGTAGAACCACAGATTCTGTTAAATTCTATAGCTTGAGAGTTATGTATTTCTCTACTTATCATTTGTATTAAAATTTTGAATGAGGGCTTAAACCTTTGTCTTTGAGATTTCCTCTGATGAATTTATCATGCTAGCAAGTTATATAATTTTCTAATTAATTAACTAATATTTATCTTCCCCAATAGACTACAAGTTTCGTGAGTGTCAGACCTGTCTCTTTCTTGTTCACCACTGCATTCCCAATACTAGCAGACTGCCTTGTATATAGTAGGTGCTCAATAATGGTGTTGATATTTACAACTATATTTGTGGATTGGTTTATTTCTCTCTGTTTTTATTTCATATATTTTGTATCCCTGTTGTTTAGTACATGCACAGCTAGGATTGCTATGTCTCCCTGGCGGATTGGCCATTTTGTCATTACATAATGTTCTTCTCTGTCTGTGATTGTTTTATTTTCTCTGAAGTCTACTTTATCTGATATTAATATAAACACTCTTCAGTGTTTTTGATTAACATTTATATGAAATGTCATTTTTTTCATTTGCATACATTTAACCAGCCTATATCACATATTTGAAGCGATTTTCTTGTAGACAGTAAATAGTACAGTTATTTTTAAATCCACTTCATCAATCTCTTTTAATCGGTGTATTTAAACCATTTACATGTAATGATAATTATTGGTGTGTTGGTGCTCAAATGCCTGTTTATTTTTTGTTTTCTGTTTGTTACCTCCATTTTTTATTTCTCTTTTTCTCTCCACCTTCCTGTGTTTTTCTTGAATGACTTTTAGAATTTTGTTTTGATTTATGTAGTGTTTGAATGCATCTCTGTGTATACTTTTCGCTGGTAGTTTCTTTAGGTATTATAAATATGCATCTTATGACAGTTTACTGGTATTTCACCAATTTAAGTGGAGCTTGTAAATCTTACCTACCTTTATATTCTTTTACCTTTTCCTGTTTATTATATAATTCTCTTAATTATTATTTCCTATCTATATAATTGGAATCATAATAAGTGTTATTTTGCTTCAACTGCCAAACCTAATTTAGAAATCCTCAAAAGAAGAAGAAAAATCTGTTTTACTATTTTTGCTTACTGTTGTTCTTTATTCCTTCCTGAATTTTCCAGATTTCTTCTTTTATCATCTCATTTCTGTTTAAAAAAATCATTTTTTGCCATTTTTCAAGGTGTATGCTCATGACAAATTCTTAGTTTTCCCTCAATCTATAATGTGTTGGTAGCTATTCCATCCTTGAAAGATATGTTCTTTGTGTATAAGACTTTGGGTTGAATGCTGTTTTCTTTCAGGCCTTGAGAATGGAGCCACTTCCTTCTGGCTTCAATGGTTTCTGGTGAAAAATCCACCATTAGTAAAAAATTTTGCCCCATAGTTAAGCTGTCATTTCTCTTTCAGTGCTTTCAAGATCTTTGCTTTGTCTTTAGTTTTTGCGAGTTTGACCATTATGTATTGTGTGATTTCCTTAGGTTTACCCTGTTTGGATTTCATTCTGTCTCCTGAATCGGTGGCCTCTTGTCTGTCACTAAATTTGGGAAATATTTTGCCTTTTATTTGAGTATTTTCTAGTCCTCTATTTCTCTTCTCCTTTCTGAATGTCACAAATATGAATGCTGGATCTTTTACTACAATTCCACAGGTCCCTAATCCTCTGTTCATATTTTTTTTTTCTTAGCTCTTGTCTTGTGTTCAAACTGGGTAATTTCCATGGTCATATCTTCAAGTTCACTAATTCCTTCCTCATTCCCTTCATTCTGTTACTGCACATATTTGTTAATTATTTTTATCTCTGTTACTATATTTTTCAGTTCTAAATTTTTCATTTGTCTTTATTTTCTGTTTCCTTGCTACGACTTTCTGTGTTTTACTGGATATTTATATTTTCTTACTTGTCTCAAATATCTAATTGTTACTTGGAGGAGTTTTATTATAATGTCTGCTTAAAAATACCTGTCATGTAATTCTAACATTATTTTTTCTCATCTCAGTGCTGGCATCTGTTGATTGTCTTTTTCATTCAATTTGATGTCTTCCTGTTTCTTGGTGTGACAAGAGATTTTTTTTTTTTATTTTAACCTGGACATTTTAGAGATTATACTATGATGAATTGTATTTAAACCTGCTCTATTAGCTGTCTTCCTCTGACAATATTGCAGTAGTGGAGAGGGAGATATTACCTTCACTCTGCTAGGTGAGGGTAGAGTCCAGATTTTCCACTCAGCACCCATTGACTCTTAAGGGTAAGGTGGAGAGGGATGAAAGTTCCAGCTCTCCACTAACACTTAAGTGATAGCTCTCCCTGGCTGGGGTATATATGAAAGCCTCATTACTATTCTTCATGGCACATCCCTTAACATTACAATGTGTATGTGTGTGTGTGTGTGCGCGCCCTTCTTATTACTAGACTGTGATAAATGTCATGACTCTGCACTAAGACGTCTTCTACACCATCCCTACAGCGGATGGGTACAGTTCCTCTAACTGCTGAGTGGGGGTAGACAGTCCCAAGTTCTACCCCACATGTGGTTTCAGTTGATACTACAGGTAGAGGCTTGCTACTCTCTGACAAGGCTTAAAGTCCCAGCTTCCTAATCAGTCTTCTTTGACACAGCCTTGGCCAGGAATTTTGACATCTTGTTGCAGCATGAATGAATGGAAATAGGGCCACAGTTTTTCTGTGGTGTTTGGCTGGCATAGAGCAATTATTGTCTGAAGACATTCTGTCTTACTCTGCCGTTCCTTTCCTTGTTCTTTGATTATAGAGAGCAAACTTCTAATTGGGATTCACTTTTGATCTGCACCAGTTTGTCTCTCCAGGTTGCTGACTGCTTCAGCAACAAGTCTTAGATGTAAATAGGCAAAAAACAAAAATCTGGGGGAACTTTCACTGTTGTTCTGTGGGTCTCAAGATCCTTATGCATGCTTTCTTCTCTCAACCATTCAGAGTCTTCTTAGGTTTGTTTCATACATAATGTCTGGCAGTTTTTATTTGTACTTAGTAGGAGAAATAGAGAAAATTATACTACTCCATTTTTCCAGAAGTGGAAGTCCTTTAAACTGATACTCCTAAAACCCATGACAAGAGTAGGCCACTGTATCATAGACAGGCCAAACCTGATTCTCTTTGTGATCTGGCTAGTGGACTATCTGGAAAACCCATAGGTCTTAAATGACCTTGATGTTTATTTTCCCCTTGATAAGTATACCTTATAATGAATATTGTATTTCATTTGGGTTTTTGGATTTAGTACAGGTAGTACATTTTGTTTTTTTGTTTGTTTTTGTTTTATTTATTTTTGAGAGAACATGAGTCGGGGGTGGGGCTGAGAGAGAGGGGAACAGGGGATCTGAAGCAGGCTCTGCACTGACAGCAGTGAGCCTGATGCAGGGCTCAAACTCACAAACTGTGAGATCATGACCTGAGCCAAAGTCAGGTGCTCAACCTACTGAGCCACCCAGGTGCCCCAGTAACACATTTCCTAAAGTGGCCATTGGATTTGAGGGTATGAGATAGATTTGCTTGAAGGGAATCATAGTGGCTTAGGTGTTGCCAATATTTTATTATTTTTTAATGTTTACTTATTTTTAAGAGAGAGAGACAGACAGAATGCCAGCAGGGGAGGGGCAGGGAGAGTGGGAGACACAGAATTCAAGGCAGGCAATGGGCTCTGAGCTGTCAGCACAGAGCCTGATGTGGGGCTCGAAGCCATGAGCCATGAGATCATGACCTGAGCCAAAGTAGGATGCTTAACCGACTGAGCAACCTATGTGCCCCAAGGTTGCCAGTATTTTAAAAGGCTTGGGCCAAATTTCAGACTCCTGTTGTTTTGAAGAATAAGGCTGGTGCTAAGAAGGGGTTAATCCTCCTACTCTCATTCTAAGAGATCCATTGACATTGCCTATCCATCCTTGGCTCATGCTCAGGAATCTTGACAATTATCCTACCCACATGTACTTCAGTATATCCATCTCCCAATTGACCTAAGTACTAGATTGCTGGTGATATTTTTCTTGAGTCTAGTTCGGGACTTGAGCCATGTGCACACATTCATTCATGCCCACCCCATCCCCACTAATTAAGTATTTCATAATATACCACTTCCTTTAAGTTCAATCTGCCTATTGGTAGTAAGATCACATGCTACTGGCAATTTAGTTTAGAGTAATGTCATCAACGTCAACACGTCTAAAAGGCAGGACACTACCTTCTGCTGTTCTAAGAGTTGACAGATCATGGTGAAACACAGGCGTTTATAATAGCATGTTCAGTCCCATTGTTCATAAACAGGTTCAAAAGTATGTGACACTGGGTGTTACAAGTTAGTGATGAATCACTAAATTCTATTCCTGAAACCAGTGTTACTTTATATGTTAACTAACTAGAATTGAAATAAAAATTGGAAAAAAAAAGTATGCGAGCCTGAGACTTACATATAAATAACTAAAATCCTTATGGCAGTATCCAGAAAGGAAATATGCATACATATTACATGTTAGAAACATCTTTAATGATGATATATATTTAAAATTTACTGGTTACACAAAGCAAGAAAAGGAGAAATAAAGAACACAGAGGGAAAAAATGAATTGCTGAATATTGGAAGCTTTCATCATCTCCTTTTCTGGGCGAATGATTTACCAAAAACCTTAATAAATGTTGTGTTGATTTTAAACTAC